CAATTCTCCATTGTTAGGAAAAGGCATCAAAAGCCTACCTTTTTTGAATCTACTAAAAGTCCTGACAATTTCAGTTCTATAAAGCAATTTTATGTATCTAGCTTGTTTTGTACTCTCTTGAGTCCTAAGAGATGATATTATCTCCATTTTACAGATGAGTAAACCTAGATTCTGAAAGACTGAAAGTTAAAAGCTATCATTGACAAATCATAATGGGAAAAAAGTATTTGTTGGACATAAGTTTATTTGTAACTATAATTACTAAAGATGACAATATAAGGTATATTAAACTATGGGCAATTGAATCTATAATATTTAAATATGCAAATTTTAACAGAATCCTGAGAACTTATTTTATCAATTTTTCTTCTAATTTTTATCAGCAAGAAATAGATATTAAATATCTTTCTATCATGCGCCCTAACAAGACCAAGATACAATCACATTTGTTCTGGAGCATATTTATCAACCCCTTGGGGAAGATGTTCCCAAACATTTCCAATCATTTTGTGGATGGATGTTGCTAGTTCAAGGGTGATTAAATCAGAGTGCAGATGGAGTGACTCAAATTCATCATCAAAATGGGAAAAGCTGCTAAACACATCAGAGTAAATAGTGTCTTTTTTCTTTTAATAAAAATAAGTACATTAAAAAGGGAAAAGGTTTTTTTTCAAAGAAGAATATGTGAACACCTGAGGTTCTGCTGAACATGCCTGGCAATTTATATCTTAAATTGTTTATCTGCATAGTCTTATTACTGTAGACTGCTTATTGAAGGACATTCACCAGAAATGATTTTTCAAATTTTTGTGCAAAACAAAAAGATATATATCCTAATATATATACATATTAAAAATAATATATATGATACCTAACCAATTAAGATTAACCCACTGGATTAATATGTAGGTATGTATAATATATAGTAACTATATAATTGGTGTTACATATTTATTGCAGTAGCACCCTCTTGTCTATGAGGCAGATACATCCCACGCACCCCAGTGGGTATCTGAAACTGGCTAATATCAAACTCTACATATAGTATGTTTTTTTCCTACTCATATATGCCTATGATAAAGTTTAATTTATAAATTAAGCATAGCAGGGAATTGACAAGAATAATAGGACAACTGTAATAACATATTGTTCACAATTTCACAAATAGAAGATTCATTCTTACTGAAGACATTAGCAATCTCAGCATAATATTTTTGTTCTTTCCTTATTAAGTTGAGAATTTTCACTTTTTCACTTAGAGGAAGCACCTTACTGCATCTCTTTGGCACATCCAAATTGACAGTATCACTACTTTTGTGTTTTGGAGTCATTATTAATTAAAATAAGGGTAAATTGAAAACAAGCACTGCAATATTGCAACAGTTGCTCTGATAACCAAGACTGCTACTAAGTGACTAGCAGGTGTATCATATGACAGCCTGGATACCCTACACAAAGGGATGATTCACATCCCCAGCAGGATGGGATGAGATAGAGTGAGACAGGGAAAGATTTCAGAATGGTATACAATTTAAAACTTACAAAGTATTGCTGGTATTTTCCATTTAATAATTCTGTGTCCTGGTTGATCATGGATAACTAAAACCACAGAAAGCTTTACAGGGGGACTACTGTACATATACATATATATGGATATATATTCCATTTAAGACAAACTAATCCACTATATTATTTCCAGGGCATCTTATAACTATGATTATTTCAACTTTAATTAAATGTCATCTTCCAGCTCTAAGTGGGATTTTTTAAAGTTGGTTAACATAAAAGATATCATCTTATTTTTAAATACTTAATTTTCAAGGCACAGATATTTTGCAATGATTCTATGCTTTTATCTGTATTAACCTTACAGTTTGCTGTAAATATCCTGCCTAATATCATCTTGTGAAATTGAATTGTGACCACTTACAAGTTGATGATGTGTGACATCACAAAGAAGGAAATAATATGGCTTTACTTCCTTGCTTTTAAATCTATGCAATCAGCCCTTTTCAGTTAAAGAGCAGAACAACTTTTTGGCCAATTACCTCTGCTAAATGTAGTTGTTAACTTTTGCCACCACTTTGGCTGTCAGTTTGAATCATCTTTAGAGACAGAAATGAGAAAGTGGAAAATGTTCCTTAGCTTGGCAAGAAACAGTAGGATGGATGTGAGTGTGTAAGTGAAGACAATGAAACCCCTACTGTTGATTTCTTCCCATGCTTGTTTTTGTTCTGGAGTTGGAAAAAGAAAAAAAAACACTATTGATACCTTCTTCTGATGATTGGAAAAGTGTTCTGAAATGATTTGCTCCTCTGGATCCTGACCACTGTTGCTAAAAACTCATCTTAGAGATTATTCTACAATTCCCCATCTATGAAGCTATAGAGAACTTCTCAGCTCACACAGTGAAGCAGAATAATTCTCATTGTTTCTGCTTCAACAGATAATCTTTTCTTTTCCCTCAAAGACAGAAGAAAAATTTTCATTTCTTCCCAAAGACTTTATATTAGCTTTTATTTAATCGTGCTCAACATTGACGTTTGTGACTTATCATCCATGGTAAATGAAAAACAGTACAGTAATAGTTAATCTCTTTTGAAGATATTTTAGTATTACCTTTTTCCCCATACTGATAAGTAAGAAATAAAACAGTCTGAAGAGGGGAAAGAGATTGTAAGAACCCAATAACAAGTTTAAGGTAATCAGAACAGTAGAACCAAGACTCCATTTCAAACAAGTTAAGAGGATGGAGATTCTGTGACATAATAAGTATCCATATGCCAATACTTAGGCTTGAAAAGCAAAATTTCTCATGCACACACATGCAAAATTGCACGTGGTGACACATGCACAATGATGATATCTGTTTTGTAATTGTTTCCTCTGTGTTTTATTTCTGCTACAAAGAAAATAAGGTAAAATAAATTAATAAGTTTTAGTTTGTATGTCTTTCAGAGATCTCAGATATGCCCAGTTTACAATTTCTACCAGTCACTATCCTCAGGAATGCATGGAACATTCAAGATATTATGCAGTCTGACAGTTGTGCTCATAGAGAAGGTCTGTGGATTTCAGAAACATGTCTGGGAAGGGATGTGATTAATGTAAGAGAGGCCAATGAGCTCACAGTTGACAAAGGCAACATAAAAAAAATTTTCAGTTACTATACCTAAGGCCAAGGATAATTTCTACTCTATAAAAAGGAGAAATAGAGGCCCAAAGGTCTTATAAAACATACTACAAAATTATTAGGAAATTGTCAAATCTTTCCATGATAATCTGTTACCTTCCTGAGCAAAATGCTTTGGATCTTTTTTTGCGTCATTAAAGGTCTATGTTTTCTTTCACTTACAATACTCAGTTTCACAGCCACAAATCTGTGGCAGATCTATTCAAAGGAAGATCAAACTATCCCAAGGAATAGTTTGAGCATCTGAACTGAGAATCTTAGTCAGGAAAACTGTCTCATGTTAATATTCTACAATTTTCTGTCAAGGAAAGGTAGCGAGAAACTACTCTTTTCTCCTGTCACTGGTAAGTTTAGGACATTTATAGGAATTGTCTTAATATCAGAATCTTTACTATATCATGTGTATTAGTATTGCTAGCATAACAAATCGCCATAAACGTAGCCACTTAAACTCGAATTTTAAAACATTTAAAATATTTTAAATTGTAAACCTCTTTTTCTTTTTTTTACCACAACTACAAGGAGTTGAAATCTGCCAACAATTCAAATGAACAGGGAAATAGATTCTCCTCCAGCACCTCCAGAAAGGAATCCAGCCAGCCACCATCTTGATTTTAGCCCAGTGAAACCTGTGTAGGACTTCTGACCTACAGAACTGTAAGGTCATCTAGAAAACAGCTAAATTTATGGTGACTTGCTATAAATTCATCTCACCCCTTAAAAGTGCTTGTGATTTTAAATGGACATTATGAATAGAGCAGTAACAAATAAATATATAAATAAATATCTTTTATAAATAAATATACATATATAAATATTCAGGATACATGTCCTGAATTTCACTTATCTGTGTGAGCCATTAGAAATATTAACAATTATTATAAGTTTATATTAAATACATTTGATTGTGACATTACAAATTAAAACTGTTTAAAAGAAATGCTTATCAATTAACCTGATATCATTAATTTTGCAAGAGTCTTACAATAGGTAAATCAAATCTAGATTTGTCATAATTTTAATTAGCTACTCAACAATGTCATAAAAGAATATTTACTAAGAAACCCAGAATCTTCCCATTTTGGAAACATAAGGCAAACATTTTTAGACTGGAGTGCAGTGGTGCAATCTCGGCTCACTGCAACCTCTGCCTCCTGGGTTTAAGCAATTTTCCTGCCTCAGCCTCCTGAGTAGCTGGGATTACAGGCGTGCGCCACCATGCCCAGCTAATTTTTGTATTTTTAGTAGAGATGGGATTACACCATTTTGGCCAGGATGGTCTCGATCTCCTGACCTTGTGATCTGCCCGCCTCGGCCTCCCAAAGTGCTGGGATTCCAGGAGTGAGCCAACCCGCCCAGCCTAAATACTACCTTTTCTCAATAGGTAACTGTTTTAAACACTGAATTTGATAAGTCATAGAAACATTTGAAATATCTTTTATCGCTCTCTAGTGTGTAAGGAACCACTGCACTCCAGCCTGGCGACAGAGTGACTCTGTCTCCAAAAAAAAAAAAATTATAAATACGTTAGCAACTTCTAGGAACCTCTGGTTCTCTTTATTGCTTTATGATTCTTGTGTAGCATTTTTTTTCTGTGACCAGAAAAACATGTCACAAGCCAAGTTGTATATATTGTTAGCAAGTGGGTAATGAATTAAACATAAGGCTAATGATTTTTTCAGCAGGATTATTTTTCCCTCCCAAATTATGCTATTTATTTTGGGGGATTTGTTTGTTTGTGTATTTGTGTCTAGTAGTTGCACACAGTATGTTCCCTTTAAAAATACAGCAAATCCATTCTGCTTACCAAACTATGCCCTGAGCCCCAGAGCCAATAGGCTTTAGATTCTGGTAGCGCTTGAGAACTGTGAAGGTTGAGTCTCCCACTTCCACACTGTAGAACTGGTTGTCAACTTTGCTTTTGCTCATGTTGTAATGTTTGGCAATATATGACACATCCACTTGTTTATCGAATCCCTGTCAAAAAGAAGAACAGCAAAAACATGAGGCAAGTGAACAGGAAGAATGATAATGAGATGTACAGAAACGTGTTATTTTAATGATTACTAACACCTAGCCATCTATCATCTATTTCATTAAGTTCACATAGAAAAAAAATTGTATTTGTCCATACAAGGTTACCTGGAGTAAAAGAGCTTAGGGTAATAAATGCAAAGAAATAGTTTTTTCCTAACATTAAAACTTTATAATAGACTTATCTTAAATTTTATTTGCATTATCTTTTCTAAAGTATCTCATGAAAACATTCATTTGTAGAATAAACATCTATATCTATTGAATATGCACTGGTCTCAGAGGTTATATTAGATCCTTCAGGATTTAAGTAAATATGACAAAGATGATCACTGGCCATACATTATAACAGTCACTTGAGGACAGATAATCATATACTGAACGGGAAAACACTGGAAGCATTCCCTTTGAAAACTGGCACTAGACAAGGGTGTCCTCCCTCACCACTCCTATTCAACATAGTATTGGAAGTTCTAGCCAGAGCAATCAGGCAAGAAGAAGAAATAAAGGGTATTCAATTAGGAAAGGAGGAAGTCAAATTGTCTCAATATACACGGTTGTATATTCAGAAGATCCCATCATCTCAGCCCAAAATCTCCTTAAGATAATAAGCAACTTTGGCAAAGTCTCAGGATACAAAATCAATGTGAAAAAATCACAAGCATCCCTATACACGAATAACAGACAAACAGAGAGCCAAATCATGAGTGAACTCCCATTCACAATTGCTACAAAGAGAATAAAATACCAAGGAATACAACTAACAAAGGATGTGAAGGGCCTCTTCAAAGAGAACTATAAACCACTGCTCAAGGACATAAGAGAGGACACAAACATATGGAAAAACATTCCATGCTCATGGTTAGGCAAAATCAATATTTTTAAAATGGCCATACTGCCTAAAGTAGTTTATAGATTCAATGCTATCTCCATCAAATTACCATTGGCCTTCTTCACAGAACTGGAAAAAAACCACCTTAAACTTCATATGGAACCTAAAAACAGCCTGCATAGCCAAGACAATCCTAAGCAAAAAGAACAAAGCTGGAGGCATCACACTACCTGATTTCAAACTATACTACAAGGCTACAGTAATCAAAACTATTTGGTACTGGTACCAAAACAGAGATACAGACCATGGAACAGAACAGAGATCTCAAAAGTAATGCCACATATCTACAACCATCTGATCTTTGACAAACCTGACAAAAACAAGCAATGGGGAAAGGATTCCCTGTTTAATAAATGGTGTTGGGAAAACTAGCTAGCAGTGTGCAGAAAACAGAAACTGGACCCCTTCCTGACACCTTGCATTAAAATTAAGTCCAGATGGATTAAAGACTTAAACATAAGACCTAACAATATAAAAACCCCAGAAGAAAATCTAGGCAAAACCATTTAGACATAGGCATATTCAAGGACTTCATGACTAAAACACCAAATGCATTGGTAATAAAAGCCAAACTAAACAAATGGGACCTAATTAAACAGAGCTTCTGTACAGCAAAAGAAATAATCATTAGAGTGAACCAGCAACCAATAGAATAGGAAAAAATTTTTGCGATCTACCCATCTGACAAAGGGCTAATATCCAGAATCTACAAAGAACTAAAACAGATTTACAGGAAAAAAAAAAAAAAAAAAAAAAAAAACCAACCCATCCAAAAGTGGGTGAAGGATATAAACAGACACTTTTCAAAGAAGACATATATGAGGCCATCAAACATATGAAAAAATGCTCATCATCACTGAGTACTAGAGAAATGCAAATCAAAACCATTGAGATACCATCTCATGCCAGTTAGAATGGCGATCATTAAAAAATCTCAAGACAACAGACGCTGGAGAGGATGTGGAGAAATAGGAATAATTTTACACTGTCGGTGGGAGAATAAATTAGTTCAACCACTGTGGAAGGCAGTGTGGCAATTCCTCAAGGATCTAGAAATAAAATATCATTTGATCTAGCAATCCCAGCAATCTAATTACTGGGTATATTCCCAAAGGATTATAAATTGATCTCTTATAAAGATACAGGCACATGTATGTTCACTGTGGCACTGTTTACAATAGTAAAGATGTGGAACCAACCCAAATGTCCAACAAAGATTGGATAAAGAAAATGTGGTGCATATACACCATGGAATACTACACAGCCATAAAAAGGAATGAGTTCATGTCCTTTGTAGGGACATGGATGAATCTGTTAACCATTATTCTCAGCAAACTGACACAAGAACAGAAAACCAAACACTGCATGTTCTCACTCATAAGTGGGTGTTGAACAATGAGAACACATGGACGCAGGGAGGGGAGTATCACACAATGGGGTCTATTGTGGGGGGGTTTGGGAGGGATAGCAAGGGATGGGAAAATTGGGGAAGGATAACATTAGGAGAAATACCTAATGTAGGTGACAAGGGGAAGGATGCAGCAAACCACCATGGCATGTGTGTGCCTATGTAACAATCCTACATGATCTGTACATGTACCCCAGAACTTAAAGTAAAAAAAAAAATCATACCTACATCCCTTTCTCAGAAAAAAACTAAGATACAAACTTACATAAAGTTTTAAGTATTTTAATTGGGTAAATTTGAATTAAACAGTGTTGACTTCATTTATTCTCGTTAACACAAATGCTATTATTCTGAATCAAGCATAGCAAAATTTTTTTCAAGTTAACATTTTTCTAAAATGCCACATGACACTTTGTTTTTTGGAAGCTTAGATTTTAAATACCCTAATTGTTGCATTTTTTGCTTATTTTTTAAGAAAAGTTAATCCATCAATTATGTTTAGTCATTGAAGAGTCTGTCTTTACAATTTTGAATAATATATGTGGATAATATAAATATCCATTACCTGTGATGATCCACAAATGATCTTATATGGTACTTATGACATAAATAGCAAGAATTCTATAGCTAGAAGGGACCTCACAGAATATCATGTAGCCCATTTCTGTGGCACACACTGGTGGATGCCTTCCCAACAGTCATCCTTTCTTGCTAGTTTTGTTCAGGTTTTAAGCACTCACATTTTCTATGGGTTTCTTTCCAATCCCAGTCACTGAAAATTAAACAATCTCTGCCAGTGGTTCTCATTAAAGGTGGCTTTGACCCATTTGGGGAATTTAGGGGATTTGTGGGCAGGTTTTAAAATACCACAATAAGGGGAAAGGTAGGGTTTATATTGATTTGGTTTGTCAAAGAATGCTGGTTGTCCTACAAGAAGTGAGACGTGAGTCATTCCCACACGATGAATAATTTCTCACATACCTCACAACTTGTGAGTGTCCTGCCAAAGCTTTAATTAGTAAAAAATCTGCCTATAATGTTTTGAGTCCAGAATCTAAACCAAAGACTTTCTGTATGATTTTAACACATGCCAACTTTTCTGAAAATCAAATTCTGATATAATTTAAAAGATTTAAATCTCCTTAGGCTCTGAACCTCTGGATTGATAATAAAACTTATTTCCTTGGAAGGTTTTGGCATTGCATCTCTAAATAAAAAACCTGAAATAGAAGTACTAACTGATTTTCCCCATATGCCCTTGGAAGAGGATCCAAGCAGCATCAGTGATGTAAATGAGGAGTATACAGTGCGGCCCATATGAACATGAGTGGCAAAACCTACAAATCCAGTGCTAGAATCTTGAGACCCCAGATAGCTGAAACAGACTTGCAAGTAGAATACATGTGATAGGCACCAACCTATGATTGCATCGGATATGGTGGCAGCATTCACTTCAAATGCACTCAGACCTTAAGGAATAAAGTGAACTTATGGGAACTTTCGTTGCTTGTACAGGAAACCAAAAATTCAAGTGATTTGCAAATGCAATAACAAAAGGTCTACAATCAAGAAAGCAGACTGTGGAGCATGGCATAGGGAATAAAGCAAGACTATTAAAAATCAGGACATTGCAAGCCTATTGAAGGAGACAACAACAGGGTTTAGAATTTAGACAATGGGTGTGGATAGTGGCAGAAACAAGAACATTAGTCTTTAAACAATCCTTGATTTCAACCACAGTACCAGGAACTGCTCTCCACACCATGGCCCATTTCTACTCCAGACTTTTTGGCATATGAGCAGAATAGCCTGAATAAAGCCCTCCTTTTTTCCCTTGCTAAGATAGGTTAAAAAGCAACTGGAGCTAAAATATAAAATGAATTCATCTGCCAAGTTTAATTTGGGATGAATGAAGTGCCCAAGTTGCCATTTGTCATGTTCTGACCCTTCTTTATATCCTTTAATATTCTGTTTCTGACCACACACAGAATCTTTAGCACACACTAGCCTCATCAAACCTAGATAATATATCTCCCCTTCCCTTACTTATTCCCTTCACTTTTGAAGTGTAGCTTTCTCAACTGTATTGCATGTATACAATAATCATTGGCAATGGACTTTGTGTTCTAGACTCCTGACTTAATGCTGTATCATGGCATGGGCCTATACCTTTGGACTTCACTGTGGCTTTTCTAGCTATGGTCTCAGTCTTCATATCACAGTTGATTCAACTTGTTGTCCCTCCTCTTCCAACATTTCAATGTATAATCAAATAAATCAAAGAAACTTAAAGATTTGTGTCACTTCTCTTTCAGGTTTAACTTCACAAGCTACCCTATTTACTATTTAGAACTGTTTAACCCAATGAACACAGATGATACACATATTATTTTCCCAATACTAGGTTTGGCACTGGAAATATAACAAAAAAAAGGTTTGGTCTAGAATGAAGACAATCAAATAAGAAAGTTTTTAAAGTATGGATAATAAATTCTACAATAGAATAAAAGAAGGTGCTGAAAGCAAACAGAAACTAACAAGCAGAAAAAGGCTCTCTCTGTATAATAGAAATAAGTGAATATTTATTCTGAAATAGAGTATTGCAATGGCAGCATATGTGCCACAGTAAACTATGTGTGTATT